CATTTTCTATGTAACATGGTAAAAAAAATTTTTTTTTAATTTCTAATAGGCAAAATGATTAAAAGTGCAAAATCATCCTTACTTCATGTAATTCCCTCCTTTTTTTTCCAACTCCATTCACCAAAAGAGTAACAGCTCTGAAAATCTATAAAACCCAATCTAGATGATTTAATATCATTAAAGCATTTTGGGAAAATAATCCCTTTCACTGCTATATTTAGGTGCAATAAGCCAATGATACAAGTATACAGTTGGATATTAATACAGCTAGAAAATAGCGAGTACTATTACAGTCACCAGATTTATAACTTTGTTTTGTGTGTACACATTTAGTTTTATTGTAACAAAGCAACTTGTCCACTTTTAACCTTTAAAAACTGAGCCTCATCTTTCCAGTGAAACAAAAAGAAAATTTAAAAATAAACAGGAAAAAAATTACAATAGAGAATGTCAATTTCAAATAAGATCCTACAGGCTTTGCTGATTCTCCCATTGGGTGGCAGGGTTCAAGTCATCATTAGGAGAGAATTTATTTTAAAAAGTGTCACCTTAAACTGCAAAGGATGTCTGTCAAATATCACAATTAAACATGCAAAAGGAGAAGCCATGTTGTCAAAATGCCCGCTTAACCCACCCGAACATCTCAAACCCACCCTGTGCTGACCTTCTATAAACCCATTTTTTTAAGGTTTTGTTTTCTGTTTTTGTTTTTTTTAAACAAGAGAAAGTAGACAGATACATGTTGGTAAATGCTAAATGTCCATATTCACACAGAGACACAGTGTACTCTCTGAGCTGAATATACAGAAAAAGGAGTAAAAAAGCTAGAATTCTGGGCACTGCCACACAGGGGCCTCACACCTTCCAGCTTCCAGCAGAGACAAGGGAGCAGGTTTTTCTTTTTTTCGACAGAGCTCAGCGGTGTTGATTCCATACAGTTTTTGTTCAGACAGGAAGGGATAAAAATGAATTTCGAACAGAAAGGGGTAGAGACTCTTTTCCCACTGTATTCTGCTCAAGGTATTTCCCCCAAATAAGGTGAGAACCATGATACAGAGAAAAGAGATCTCAAGAACAGGGCGACTGAGCACAAGAGGAAAACAAACAAACAACAAACAAAAAACAAAACAAAAAAAACCTGCAACTTGCTCCCAGGGACTGGAGAAAATTTTTAAAAAGGAAGGTCGGAATCCATCAGTGTTCTATTAGTCATCTTCTCCTTCATCCTTCTCTCCTTCCTCCCCTTCATCATCATCTTCATTTTCTTCATTTTCCTCATCCCCTTCTAATCAATATCTTCTAATCCGTCCTCCTCTTCATCATCATCATCTTCTTCTCCTTCTTCATCATCCACATCGGGAACCAAGTAGTATTGTAATGGGTTTGGCCAAATACCATCTTTGATGAACTCTCCTAACTCATCAGCACCTGCATCAGAATGGTCAGTAAATCAGGTAAAGAAGCTCCCTGGTTCCTCATGCTGCTTCTTCCTGCCGGCTTTATTCTGCGTTTGACTTGAACGCTTTGTCAAATCCTTTCCGGATTTCCATTTGATTGCAGTGGACTTTAAAGATGGATCACCACTCTCATTCAGATGAAATTCTTTGGACAGAACTTTATTTTCAAAGTAAGGATTTTGATCAAAATAAAAATCTATTCTGTAACCTGATTAAATATATTCAAATTCGGTCACTTCAACTCTGCTCAAATAATGCAGTGCCGCTTCTTCCTTCTCCCCAAGCAGTGCAGACACCTGTGGATGGTTGATAAATGTTGTTATCCAAAAGTGTGGGATTTTGGTGATCAATTCTGATCTCTTCTGAAAAAAATGGTTAGCGGAGTTTGTTACATTTCTGTTCTGCTTTCAAAATCTCCTCACTGGCTTGTTCATTAAGTCTGTTTGTTTCATTTTGGATTTCATCAATGTGTTCCATTGCTTCTTGCTATTTTCCTGAGGTCTCGTCGGCCCTGTAGTGGCTGGAGTTGAGTTCCTTTCTACTGACTTTGGCGGCGGATGCCGATGTGGCGCGGTTGGAAGGTGGGGGCGGGGGAAGGGAAGGCGAAGGGGACTGGCAGGTGGCTTCCCCGTCACGGCACACGCGCGGGTCCAGCCGCCTCCTCCCAGCGCTGCCCTCGCGGCCTGACTACAAGGTACCGGCTAGGGCTGCATGCGGGACCCGGTCCGGGCTCCTGCTCGCCGAGGGGATGCGGCGGCAGCGGCGCGGCAGCGGCTCGCCTCCCTCGCCCAGATTTATAATTTTTTTTTTTTTTTTTTTTTTTTTTTTGAGACGGAGTCTGGCTCTGTCGCCCAGGCTGGAGTGCAATGGCGCCATCTTGGCTCACCACAACCTCCGCCTCCCGGGTTCGAGTGATTCTCCTGCCTCATCCTCCCGAGTAGCTGGGATTACAGGCACCCGCCACCATGCCTGGCTAATTTTTGTAATTTTTTTGGTAGAGACGGGGTTTCACTATGTTGGCCAGCCTGGTCTCGAACTCCTGACCTCGTGAACCATCCGCCTTGGCCTCCCAAAGTGCTAGGATTACAGGTGTGAGCCACCACGCCAGGCCCAGATTTATAATTTTTAAATGGCAACAAATTACGCCATTCTCTTTTCTTTCTTTCTTTCTTTCTTTTTGAGACGGAGTCTCGCTCTGTCGCCCAGGCTGGAGTGCAGTGGCGCGATCTCGGCTCACTGCAAGCCCCGCCTCCTGGGTTCACGCCATTCTCCTGCCTCAGCCTCCTGAGTAGCTGGGACTACAGGCGCTTGCCACCACACCTGGCTAATATTTTTGTATTTTTTTAGTAGAGACAGGGTTTCACCGTGTTAGCCAGGACGGTCTCGATATCCTGACCTCGTGATCCACCCACCTCAGCCTCCGAAAGTGCTGGGATTACAGCCGTAAGCCACCGCGCCCGGCCACTCCATTCCCTTTTCTAATTTACATTTCTTCTACTTTAAGTAAATATGTTTTTAAAAAAATATTTAAAATGAAAAAATATTTTAGCTTTCCCTTTAGTGCCACCTGGGAGAAATGGTCTAACAAAAGACTTCCAGAAATTGCTTCCGGATTTACATAACTGAAAAAATTAAAGATCCTAGATTATTAATTCACAGGGTAAGGAATGCCCCCTTTCTTCTCTTTCTGGTCTTTTCTGGAATGCCCCCTTTCTTCTCTTTCTGGTCTTTTCTTAAAGCTTTGATCCTTGTCTTATTTCTATTGCCTCATTTCATCATTGTGTAAAAAACATACCACATGATGAAATACATCATCATGTGTTTTTGCTATCATGTTTTTGCAAAATTGAAAATACATTTGAGGCCAGGCGCAGTGGCTCACACCTTTAATTCCAGCACTTTGGGAGGCCAAGGTGGGTGGATCACGAGGTCAGGAGTTCAAGACCAGCCTGGCCAACATGGTGAAACCCTGTCTCTACTAAAAAAAAAAAAATTAGCCAGGCATGGTGGCAGGCGCCTGTAGTCCCAGCTACTTGGGAGGCTGAGGCAGGAGAATCACTTGAACCCAGGAGGTGGAAGTTGCAGTGAGCCGAGATTGCACTACTGCATTCCAGCCTGACACCAGAGTGAGACTCTGTCTCAAAAAAAAAAAAAAGAAGAAGAAAATACATTTGAGTGAAATGATAAGATTATATTGCAAAACGTTTTCTATTAAAAAAGAAAAAAAATGGCCAGGCAGAGTGGCTCACTCCTGTAATCCCAGCACTTTGGGAGGCCAAGGTGGGTGGATCACCTGAGGTCAGGAGTTCAAGACCAGCCCTTCCAACATGGTGAGATCTCGTTTCTACTAAAAATACAAAAAATTAGCTGGGCGTGGTGGTGGCACACGCCTGTAATCCCAGCTACTCAGGAGGCTGAGGCAGGAGAATTGCCTGAACCCGGGAGGCGGAGGTTGCAGTGAGGCACGATTGTGCCATTGCACTCCAGCCTGGGCAACAAGAGTGAAACTCCATCTCAAAAAAAAAAAAAAAAAGAAAAAAGAAAGGAAAAAAACCACAACTTTTTTTCCCCCCCAAGAAGCAAAACAGATGATAACTATCATAAGCATTCCCAATTAGTGGCTTGGGATCTACCAGCATGTTCTCAATGCCCTTGGTTGAGTTCCAGGTCAGTTGTCATTGTCAGGTTTCTCCTTCTCTCTGCTACTCCCCAGTTCTTAGCTGCCTAGGAATAACACTGTGGAGATCCCACTGTTCACCAGGTTTTTACTAAAGAATTTAATGTTCAGAGAGTATTTTTTTTTTATTAAATATCATTACTGAGATAAATGATTTCATTATGAGGTAATCTCACCTTAAGATTAAACCATATTAAATATATAATAGACATATTTAAAAAAAAACTGCGGCACCAAGGACAGAGTTAAAATAAGGTTCTGGGGTACTAAGGTTTTTTTGTTTTTGTTTTTTTGTTTTTAAGACAGTCTCACTCTGTCGTCCAGGGTGGAATGCTGTGGAGTGATCTCCGCTCACTGCAACTTCTGCCTCCCAGGTTCAAGCAATTTTCTTGCCTCAGCCTTCTGAATAGCTGGGATTACAGGCGACTGCCACTGTGCCTGGCTAATTTTTGTATTTTCAGTAGAGTTGGGGTTTCACCATGTGGGCTAGTCTGGTCTCGAACTCGACCTGAAATGATCCACCCACCTCACATTCCCAAAGTGCTGGGATTACAGGCATGGGCCACCACATCCACCCTTGGGGTACTAAGTCTTAATTTCATAACTAGGACACATTTTCAGTATACAAGTTTCACTAACAATACACACCTTTATACACCCAACGAAATTTTCACAACCCTTAAAAACACAATGAAATTTTATATATTGTTTAAAAATATCTCCTGCTAAGAAATCTTTGCCATTTCTTAGATGCACATTCCTACTCTTTGTGTTAAAGCACAGAGACAATAAAATGCATTTAAACTATATATATGCTCATTATAAACAACCTTAAATAGAAGGCCATGAACCTGAATTTGTCATACCTGTTGGATAGTAGGCTTGCGAGTACTGTGCTGAGGGTGTGTAGTTACTGTATTTTTGGGAGGAGCTGACCATTGTTTGAGGACCTTGTTGAACATGGACAGATGTGGTGCTGGGCTGCAGCGTATAGGTAACCTCAGCTGGAAACCTCTGGAGTACAGGAAATGGAACCCCTTTATCTGAAAATGTGGGAGATGTCTCCACTTGTCCAGGGTGCATTCCAAGGGAGTTCTGCCATATCCTGTGAGGAACTGGGGTCCGATCTAAACCTTTCAGAGGGAAAGTACTGTGGTCATGGGACGGAGTTGATACATAGGAGTAAGGAGACAAACTATCTCGCCGAAATGACCGGTGAAATTGTCCTACAGCCACTGGTCCTGCATAAAAGAGGAAGAGCACATTTACTAATTTTGCATTACACCACCAGACATAGTAAACCAAAGGTCATAAAATATACTACTCTTCACCTATCAGCCATTTTTAACACAGCAGAAGTTTAGTTTTGGTAAAAACAAATTCAGAATCAAGAATATGAGACATATAATGCTGAAAGAAGAATTGAATAAACCTTTGTTTTCTCAGTGTAATAGTCATAAAAGATAAAGTGCCTAAATTCTAACATTAAATCAAATGTTAAATCAAATATTCAACATTAAAAGCCTTTTATACATGATTTGGCCATCTTACCTTTCGCTTTATTTGCCTGACCCAGATTTTTCCAATGTGTAAGCTACTTCCTAAAAGTTTTCCATTCAGTCTTTCAAACGATTTTGTAACATTAATAATAGACATAAAAATAAGCTGTCCACCAAAAAATAAAAGAAATGGGTATGGAACATATAACAAGATTTTTATAAATGTAACGTTCTTTGCTATCTATCTATCTACCTACCTACCTACCTACCAACCAACCGGATCTCACTCTGTCGCCCAGGCTGCAGTGCAGTGATGTTATCTCGGCTCACTCTAGCCTCAAACTTCCAGGCTCAAGCAATCCTCCCACTTCAGCCTCCTGAGTAGCTGGAACTATAGGTGCACACCACCAAGCACTGTTTATTTTACTTTTTGTAGAGACAAGGTCTTGCCACGTTCCCAGGGTGGTCTGGAACTCCTGGGCTCAAGCGATCCTCCTGCCTTGGCCTCCCAATGTGCTAGGATTACAGAAATGAGCCACTGTACCTGGCCTGTTTTTTGTACTTTAAAGGAAAATAAGAAAAATCATTTTTTAAAAATCATTTTTAAGAGGCCTATTATTTGAATACATTCAATCTCCTGAAGTAGGATTTTTTCCCCCTACTAAAGACCTCTTGATTTCAGGGCTCCAGAATTTGCATCGTGTGTATGTGTTTATTTTTGGCATTAATGTTTTATTCTTTTTTTTTCTTAGAAACAGATTCTTGCTTTGTTGCTCAGGCTGGAGTGCAGTGGTGTGAACATCGCTCACTGCAGCCTCGAACTCCTGGGCTCAAGCAATCCTCTCACCTCAACCTCCTGAATAGCTGGAGTTCAGACATGCACCACCACACCAGGCTAAATTTGTTTTGTAGGCAGGAGCCTCCCTATGTTGCCCAGGCAGGTCTTGAACCTCTGGGCTCAAGCATCCTCCTGCCTTTGCCTCCCAAAGTACTGGGATTACAGGCATGAGCCACCATGTCTTGCCCTCCCTTTCAAATTTTTAAAAATGATAATCTTTGTAGAAAAGTCAGGCTTGAAAAGTTTGACTTAGTTTCCTCCTTCATTCCTTAAATCAATCAATCATTTTCCATGATTTTTCTTTCTTCAGAGTCTTTCCAGTAGTATCCTTTCCCAGATGTCAGTGGCTCTCAAACATTGGTTTACATCTGAATCACCTGAAGAGTATGTTAAAAATCCACAAATCCAGGCCCAGAGATTCTGATACTTGTCTTCTCTTCATTAGCAATGTAAAAAGGAATAAAAAATGGAGATAAGGAAGATAGAGAAAGGGCAACAGTATGTAATGAAGGACAAGAGAATATAAATGGTGCAGAACTATAAATTACGATTCTTGAACATAAACAAAGCCAGCCTAATTTATTCCTAAGGAAAGTTTTGCATTAAATCATGTGACTGATTCACAAGTTCCTTTCAATTTATTAAGCTAATCTGTAAAACAGAGGGAAAACCTATTATGTGCTACTCAAGTATTAAACTACACGTTGAAAGCTGACACTCAAATATCTGCTTTTCCAAATAATTAGATTGTAAACCCATTCAACAAGTTACAAATCTGTCATTCTATTTCTGTGGTTTAATTTCCTTTAAAGAATAAAGCAGGCCAGCCATGGTGGCTCATGCCTGTAATCCCAGCACTTTGGGAGGCTGAGGCGGGCAGATCACTTGAGTCCAGGAGTTCGAGAGCAGCCTGAGCAACATGGTGAAACCCCATCTCTACAAAACATACAAAAATCAGCTGGGCATGGTGGTGTATGCCTGTAATCCCAGCTACTTGGGAAGCTGAGGCAGGCGAATTGCTTGAACCAAGGAGGTGGAGGTTGCAGTGAGCTGAGATTGAGCCACTGTACTCTACCCTGGGTGACACAGTGAGACCCTGTTTTAAAAAGAGAGAATAAAGCATTATTGAGTCCAGGAGTTCAAGGTTACAGTGAACTATGATCATGACACTGCACTCCAGCCTGGGTGACAGTGAGATCCTGTCTCTTAAAAATAAATACTTAAACAAGTAAATAAAGCACTAATGCCAAAAAGAAAAAAATACATACATATGAACAACACAAATTCTGGAGCCCTGGAAATCAAGAGGCTTTATCTAATGTGGGGAAAAAAATCCTATTTTAGAAGATTAAATGTATTCAAATAACAGATCTCTTAAAAACTATTTTTCCTTTCTTCCTTTAAAGTACAAAAAATAGACCCTGTCTATTTTTTCTAACCCTGTCTCACCCTTCTAACCCCAGCACTTTGGGAGGCCAAGGTGGGAGGATTGCTTGAACTCAGGAATTTCAGACCAGCACAGGCAAAATGGTGAGATCCTGGCCAGGTATGGTGGCTCACGCTTGTAATACCAGCGTTTTGGGAGGCTGAGGAAGGCAGATCGCTTGAGGTTAGGAGTTCGAGACCAGCCTGACTAACATGGAGAAACCCTGTCTCTACTAAAAATACAAAAATTAGCTGGGCATGGTGGCGCACACCTTGTAGTCCCAGCTACTTGGGAGGCTAACGAAGGAGAATAGCTTGAACCTGGGAGGCGGAAGTTGCAGTGCGCCAAGACTGCGCCACTGCACTCCAGCCTGGGCAACACAGCAAGACTCCAATTCAAAAAAAAAGAAAGAAAAAAAAAAAGAAAAAAAAGGTGAGATCTTGTCTTTACAAAAAATAAAAAAAATCAGCCAGGTGTGGTGGCATGCCCCAGTAGTCCCAGCTAGGAGACTGAGGTGGGAGGATGACTTGATCCTGGGAGGTCAAGGCTGCAGTGAGCCATGTTCATGCCACTGAACTCCAGCCTCGGTGAGAGAGGGAGACTCTGTCTTTAAAAAAAATAAAAATAAAAAATAAAATTAAATTTAAAAAAAGCATAAAACAGTTTTTATGCTGCTTGACTACCAATTCCGCAGGTACACACACTTTGAACCTACCACTGACAACCCCTCCTTTTGTTTTTTTTTTTTTTGCTCTTCACAAGAGGTGTTTCTCCATGTCCAAAACTACCCATTGCTTGATTTCTCCTGGGATGCTCACATGCCAACACTACATACTGCCTACAGAGTACAACAGCTCTGCCCTCTTTGGGGATAAACTGTTGGCGAATTTTCAGGCTGTCAATAACTTCAGCAGCTAATTAAAGAATTCTCGACCTTAAATTGTTTTATATCTGTCTACTTCTATCACGATAAACTTGGAGTGATGGCCAATTAACTATTTTAGATGCTGTTAAAATTAGAACACAGTCGAGATTAGAAGGGCATTCTTTTAAGTCTGTTTTTTAAAATAAAGAACCAAGACATGTTCAGCCCTTATTTATTCTTCTGTTAAGGGTTACCTCATAGTGGTCAATTCAGATCAACATTACATCACCTATATGTCCTCAAAATATCTTTAAGATATATTTGGCAAAGTTTTAATCCAGAATTCTGGAAATAGAGGGCAGGATGAAATTATGTTCTTAAAAATTCTATTTCTTTTATGGAAGTGCATCTGATCAATTCCCAGGAAAGAATCCAAAAACTTGCCTCTTGAGAGCATGGTATCCCCAGGCAAAAACAGGTTATCCATTTCTCAGACGTGTTACTTAGTTTAGAATATTTTAACAAATATCGTAAAATAAACTGTTCCTAAAACCAAAATAACAAAAGTGCACAAAGGAAAAACATGCAATCTCACGTTTCTTATTAAGTAGACTCTTGGAAAGTGAACACTACAGTTGGTTCAGTGGCTCTAAATAAAAGAACTAGGTCCTAAAACAGAGGATTCTATTATAGACAGAGAAGTATTCAACCCATACACAGAAATAGAACACAGAAAAAATGGAGACTAAGCAGTAGCAGTGTAGTCAGGCACACAACCAAGGCAAGATTCGAGAAGAAGAAAAATGAGATGAGGAAAAACAGAAGAGCGAAGGACTTAGAACATGGAATGAGAACAAAACAAAGTTGTATTCTTCAACAACTCTGTTCAATTATTCAAGTTCTAGTATGCTTGAACTTATAGCAGAATTACATTCCACCTGAAACAGTAACACAATTCCCTGGTGAACCAAACCTATGGTATAGACAGTCCACATCTGACATACCTTCTGCACACACCAACAGGTAGAATGGTAAGGAAAACAAACAAACACACAAACAAAAAACATCAAACAGGAAAGGCATCAAAACAATAACTTAGTTATACATGGATTGACATATAATCTATACTGAAACACCATGAATGTAGGTTTTTCAACAAACAGTAATCTTTAAATGCTGACCAACTGAACTATAAGTGAATAAAATCAGATTCTAGATGGCCCTGAATTTCTTTAATTAAAATGGACTCTATCCTTAAAATATAACTGGGTTTAAGATAGTTGAGGGAAAAAGATCAGAGAAAAGAGCAAGTGTTGGTTTTTATGTATGTGCGTATGTATGTATGTTTCTTTGTTTGAAGTGGTTATCCCATTTCTCCCAAAAAACACATTTTCTAGTCTTTTCTCCTTATGCCCACCAAACATGCAACCTGAAAAAAAAAAAAAAAAAATCTATGTCAGAGATTCTGCCAAATGTATGCCATGATATTGTCTCCATTGCCTTGCCCCTTACCATTCCCTACCAAAATCAATGGCCATCACATGGAAGTGCGCTAATATTCCTTTAGGACATTCTTATGCCACTGCTGCTTTTTCAACTTATTGTTGGAACTTTAACCTAATCCATTATCTTCTAAACTCCACAGTGGACACATAACCTAGTTCCTTATCTTCTAAATTCCAAATGAACCAAGTACTGTTGTCACTCATAACCCTGGGTTAAGTTGAACATAGTGTTATTTTATTTGTATATTTAAACTTTTCATTAACTCAAAAATAACCCAGATTTCTTTTTTTCTTTTGAGACGGTGTCTCGCTCTGTCGCCCAGGCTGGAGGGCAATGGCATGATCTCGGTTCACTGCAACCTCCGCCTCCCGGGTTCAAGTGATTCTCCTGCCTCAGCCTCCTGAGTAGCTGGGACTACAGGCGCCCGCCTGTAGCCAATTCATTCTACATAGGAACTATATCTTGTAAGCCACGATGTATCGTTGTATTTTTGATCTTAAGGTATATAAACAATGTCTACCATTCTACACATCACCCAGAACCCTAAATCTGATGATTGTCTTAACATTTCTTCTAAGATTTCTTAGATGTGCCAATAGGTGGAAGGTGGCAGCCCTCTTCAAGGACAAATTTCCACTGCAGGCACCTTTTCCAAAACTTTCCCTTGGCTGCTATTGTAATGTTCTAAGTTCTTTTTTTTTTGAGACGGAGTCTCGCTCTGTTGCTCAGACTGGAGTGCAGTGGCACTATGTCGGCTCACTGCAACCTCTGCCTCCTGGGTTCAAGCGATTCTCCTGCCTCAGCCTCCTGAGTAGCTGGGATTACAGGCGTGCGCCACCACCACGCCCGGCTAATTTTTGTATTTTTAGTAGAGACGAGGTTTCACCCTGTTGGTCAGGCCAGTCTTGAACTCCTGACCTCGTGATCCACCCGCCTCGGCCTCCCAAAGTGCTAAGGCGTGAGCCACCATGCCCAACCGTAATGTTTTAAGTTCTCTTGACTATGATTTTCTTCCGTCCCGCCTTAACCTGTAGGGTGACTCCACTCTGCTTCCCACGGGAGCAAAGGAGCCCCTTCTGTGTTTCTTGCAGACCCAATGTTTCAACGAAGGACTCTTTAGTCTACATGTTTACAGTGGACAGTGTGGGTCTCAGGAAGGTAAACGGAGGCTTACAACCAGGTAACTCCTGGGGTTCAAACCGGGGACAAGTAGAAGGGAGCCTAAGAGGCGGAGGTCCCTTTTGCTGCCAGTGGGCTCAGAAGGGGCTGAATGCTTACGGACCCTCCAGGGGAGGGCCGGTGGCCACCGTGCTGGTGCCGAGAATGGTGGCGGTAGCAGTGGCGGGACTTTCAGTCTTTGGGAGCACGGTGGACAATGGGTCCTGGGCGCCTTTCGGACTCCCCCAGCGTGAGGACGTGCGAAAACGCGCCCTCGAGGGGCGGTTGCTCCCCGCCGCCCATGTGCCCGCTGTGGGCGAGGGCGCGGGCAGCCCAGACTCACCGTGAGCCTCCGGCCGGGGCCCCGCGGGTGGCGGCGGCTCCTGGTGCTGCAACTGGGCGGCGGCGGCCGCCGAGGCAGCGGCGGCGGAGGCGGAGGCCGAGGTGATGAGCAGCCGCTGGAAGCGGTTGGGCGGGCGGCAGGGCACCTCCAGGCCGGCCGCCAGCTTGGCCTTGTTGGCGCTAGTCAGGCGCTTGAGGTGCACGAGCAGCTGCGGCTGGTCGCGGCGGAAGTGCGGGCTGTGGAAGTGATGGAGCTGCCCGTCCCCTGCCGGCCCGCCGCCCCCCGGCCCCGGCCCCGGCCCCGCCGCGCCCGGCCCGCCCAGCACCACCTTGCGGAAGCCGTAGAGGTTGAGCTGGCGGATGAAGCTGGTGAAGTTGGTGGTTTTGAAGAGCTCGGGCTCGGCCCCGGCCCCCGCAGCCCCGCCGCCGCCTCCCCCCGGCCCGGGCGGGCTGAGCAGCTCGGCCTCGAAGAGCGGCTGGTCGATGAGCAGCCCCTCGCCGCGGCCGTCCCAGCGGATAGAGCGGTAGCGCGGGCTGTTCACCAGGCGCCACAGCTTGGCAGGGAAGTTGTTGGGGTTGATGGGGGTGGAGAGCAGCGCCTCCTCCATCGCCCCGACGGGCCCGGGCCTCGCCCCCCGAGCCTAGCTCTCCCACCCCGTTCTCGATCCCTCCCCGGCCTTCGCCTCGCCCTGCCCGCTCCTGCCGGCGCCCGTCCGCCGCGTACAAGGGACCGTTGGCGCACGAGGCCCTGCGGCGCCTCCCAGCACGGCCAATGGGGCCTCGAGTTCCCGCCACGCGGCGTGGGCACCTCCCCCTCGGCGGCCGCGTGCCCCGGCCAGGCCCGCCAGACGCCTGCGGGACCCGGGCAGGCGCCCCTTCCCCAGGCATTCCCAGACTTGAGGTTGGGAAGGCTGCCCGCCGGGGAGTTCTAAGTCCTGCGAAGAGAGAAGCCCAGTTATCCACCGTGGAATACCAAGAGGCGTGTGTTTCGGCCCAGCCAACTAGTGGGGACTTGGAATGCAGAGAAAGTGTGCGTTAGGCAGCAGAGTCGGTCATTCTGGGGACCAAAGGGTCTGGTCTGTAATCTTTCTAAGTGGAACTGCCCACCTCTCAAACAAAAATGATGCTACTGGAGGTATAATATCTTGAGTAAACGAATTCACCTTTTAGATAGTAGCCTTTTGTATCTTTTTAAGATACACTCTTTTAAGCCAGTATTTTGTTAAAGACTATTTACCCAAGGTTAGACGAGAACTGAGGTCCCTGGGAAGAGGGAATCACAAGAATCTAAGTACTATCTTGTGTGCCTGCCCAACCAGCTGGTGGCATTTTAGACATGAAAGATAAGATGGGATAGAATTCTACGGTATCCATAAGAATCGATCCCTAGCCAATCAATAAATAAGAATGTAACAAGAGCTATACTGATTCAAAAAGAGAGGTTCATTTGAAAATGGAAATTGGCCGGGCACAGTGGCTCACGTCTGTAATCCCAACACTTTGGGAGGCCAAGCGGGGTGCACTGCTTGAACCCAGGAATTTGAGACCAGCCTGGCCAACATGGTGAAACCGCGACTCTACTAAAAATACAAAAATTAGCCAGCGTGGTAGCGTATCTGTAGTCCTAGCTACTCGGGAGGCTGAGGCAGGAGAATCGCTTGAACCCAGAAGGCGGAGGTTGCAGTGAGCCGAGATCGCACCACTGCACTCCAGCCTGGGGAACAGAGGGAGACTCCATCTCGAAATAAATAAATTGGAAATTGCTGGGAGAAAGGGGTACAATGTTCTACTCTTCTCATAGTCATAGAATAAGTGAATATTAAGGTTTTTTAGAAATGAAAATAAAACAACCCAACAAAGCAGCACTAATATAGAGATTTTATTTAACCTGTATTGAATTTTTACAGCACATTGCATTTTTGTCACAACGCAACTGCACAGTTTGGATTTTTGGCCACATCATGTCACTTACACCCACAACAGCTCTGAAAGGAGTATTTAATGAACACATCTGAGCCAAGAGCCCAGAGTCTCTCTCCAAGGCCATGCAGTTTGTTCACTGATGGGACAGTCCCTCAAAACAGCCACACTAAGTAGACAGATACAGTCTCCCCAAATGTTACCAATCTTACTCCCCTTGAAAACAGGCAGAGTGAAGTGCAATGAAAGTCAAGTTAATTAAAGAGCCACTCACAACTGGCAGTAAATTTTAATGATTGATAAAATGCTTAAAATAATTTTTCTAATGTATCAGAAACAAGGAATAGCTTGTTACTTTTTCAATGATCTCAGGAATTTTGCAGACACAAAATATCCATTATTCAGCTCCATTTAAATGAAAAAAAAGTTCCGCTAGGCTGACCTAAATACGCCAAAACTTTTTAGGTTACATCTATGGCAAGTACAAAAGAACCACAGATGCTTCTCTGTAGGACTGAAAAGGTCAGGGAAATAACGATTCTTGTTCTAAATGCAGATCCTAGTTATTTTGGAATGAAATGCTGTTTTCTAGAAAGCAACATGAAAGTAGCAGTGAGAAAGATGACTGCCATCATTTCAAAACAGGATAAGCCTAAATGTAATTCACCATTTATATGTCAACAAATTAAGGAAAATGTATAAAGTCCTAGTGGTTTCATTATAGGCCAAGGAGACTGTATCTGTCCCACCCACAGTACATGGCTATATCACTGTAGCTTTTGGTTAAGTGCCACTGGTACATATTAAGATGGAAAAAAAAAAAAAAAAAACAAAAGTTTTAAAAAACCAACAACGTTTGGTCCAAATGGACACATGTTCTCTCCCGATTTTGGTATCAAGGCTTTAGTCTCTTCTGTTTGGGTTCCATTGTTAAGTGCACAGAAATAGACAGCAGCATTTGTACTGAAACCCTCACATACCAAACAGCATATGCTAGGAGGTAAAAACCAAACGCTAAATTCTACCCTCAAGGTGTCAAGTGTTCAGGATAAGAAGCAATGTGACCCAGAGGAGGCAGCAGCCAAGGGAAAGACAACATGGGGGAAACGGGCAATGGAACAACAACGAAAACCTTTGTTTTATTTTCATGCCAGGAGAGGATCAAGGTATAGCTCCTGTGTTAGCACCAGGACAACTAGGAAAAGTCAGGCGCAAAGGGTAGGGCACAATCAGCAGATGTTTCACAAGGATAATTTTTACTTTTCCCTTCTCATTCTTCACAGTGCGTAACTCAAGAGCTGCCACTGTGTAACAGAGACGACTGCCTTCACAGCTCAAAATAACTCAATCAGCCGAGTTTTCCTCTGCTCCCAAAAATGGCTCGCTCCCTAAACTGTCCCCCTAAACTGAATATTCACCAACGCTGGCTGATGAGCCAACTGAAAAATACATTGAAACCTCCACTTGCTGAACCAGTCTTCAAACCAAACTCCACAGAAAGACAGTACTAATGCAACTAGAGGGAGTGCCTCTAAAGACTGAGCCTTCATGCACAGACACAGAGCACAGAGGTACAGGATATAGTTCATCTCAAATAGGACAGGAATTCCTATCTTGTATACTATAATCTGCTTTTGTCAAGGTGGAGGAGAGATGGGTCTGGTTATCACTTGGAGTTTGGTTATACGTATGCCATTCTATTGCTGTTTGGGGCACTTTGCACCAGGTAACATCTATGCAATCATCATCTTGTGACCTCCAGGAGAAAGAGGCTGGAGTCACCAACTCAACATTAAGCTTCCAGACCCTGGGTCTGGGTTAGGACCATTACCCCAAGGTGAGGGTCTCACCAGTAGAGGACCTCCTGCCAAATTGCAATTCCTCTGCTCCAGTTTCATGATACCAAGGAGGATTTCTCAAGATGGTATCTCTGAGCTCTGTGATTTCATGAGCCACACCAACGAACCTTCCAAACTACAACTGAAGCAGATCCTCCCTTCAAACCTGCTAAAGTTGGACAGGTCGTCTCCCTGGCATTCAACTGGAAGCTGTAGCAATGGGTTTCTTTAGCTGTTGGCTCATGAGTTCCCTGGCACGAGAGACTTGAATGTGTTCGTAACAGGAGTTACAGACGAGAACCGGGTCATAGAGTTGCTGATCAGGAATGGGCAGCTTCAGGTGGCAGCATCCAGCACAAAATACGTTCCCACAATTTCTGCCAAAGCACGAAGAGGGAAGAGTTCATCAGAAATGCCAATATACTAGCCAGGCAGGGTGACTCACACCAGTAATCCCTGCACTTTGGTAGACTGAGGCAGTAGAATTGCTTGAGGCCAGGAGTTTGAGACTTGCCTGAGCAACATAGCAAGACCTCATCACTAATAAAAAAAAATTAATTAATATTAAGAAATGCCAATATACTGAGAATGAGTGATACTAAATGAAAAGTTGGGGACAAACAAAAATAGTTTCTATAAAGAGGTATCCACTTCCAAACGAATTCCATTTAGTTCTATACATATGTATTGTACTGTTTTTGTTTTTGTTTTTGAGCCAGAGTCTCGCTCTGTTGCCAGGATGGAGTGCAGTGGCGTGATCTCAGCTCACTGCAATCTCCAATTCCCTGGTTCAAGTTGTTCTCCTGCCTCAGCCTCCAGAGTAGCTGGGATTACAGGCACACGCCACCACACCCAGCTAATTTTTATATTTTTAGTGGAGACAGGTTTCACCATGTTGGCCAGGATGGTCTTGATCTCCTGACCTCGTGATCCGCGTGCCTCAGCCTCCCAAAGTGCTGGGATTACAGGTGTGAGCCACTGCGCCCAGCCTGCACTGTTTTTTAAGTCATACTAAATCATACAAAACATCTTACCTGCAATGGTGTCTTCGTTTGGCCAACCAGAATTCACAGTCACAGTTATAGCAGTGTGATGCCATATGGTCTGGAACCCAGCGAGTCACCTAATAGAAGGCACAAGGAAAAATTCCTGGTCCTTGCTGACAGACTGGAAGAGCAACACTGCAATAAGGAAAGCATCCCAGGAGAAAGTGACAAGGCTTATCTTCATAACTGGCTACCACTTGCCTACCAGGTTGACACTCCACTGGGAGACAGCTCAGTCTACAGCATGTCATTCATCTCTGGGAAGTATGATGACTCACTGGCTCACATAAGTACCCACCACATATGTGCCTAAACATACCTCAGTCTCTTTCTTATCAACAGGTTCCCAGCTTGCTTCTGAAAGGCAGTCTTCACTGTGATCAGAGCCAAAATCCTCAGTATCACTGCCATCTGACTCCTTCAAACATGTCTGATGAAAAGGCAAAGACAACATTATCTTCATCATCATTAACGCTTAGTGTTTACCATGTGTCAGGCACTGTGCTAAGTGCATTACATACATGAACTTATTTCTCATGACAGTCTTACAACGTATACTACTAATATCCCCATTTTACAAATAAGAAAATGAAGCCACAGAGAAAGTTAAGAGCTGATATGTGGTAAAACTGGGATTTGAACCTAGTATTGTGGCTTCAGACTTACACTCTTACCAATATGCTACACTACAGCATAGAAACTCTTGTTACGTTCTAAACCAGGGGTTGGCAAGCTACGGCCCACAGGCCAAACTAGCCCACTGCCTGTTTTTGTAAATCAGGTTTTGTTGGAACACAGCTGCATTCATTCATTTACATACTGTCTATGGCTGCTTTTTGTTTTGTTTTTGAGACAAGGTCTCGCTCTTTTGCCCAGGCTGGAATGCAGCGGCATGATCACGGCTCACTGTAGCCTCAACATCCTGGGTTCAAGAGATCCTCCGACCTCAGCCTCCCGAGTAGTTGGGACCACAAGCATCCACCACCATGTCCAGCTAATTTTTTTGTAATTCCCGTAGAGATGGGGTTTTACCATGTTGCCTAGGCTGGTCTCAAACTCCTTGGCTCAAGCGATCCACCCACCTCGGCCTCACAAAGTCCTAAGACTACAGGCATGACCCACTGTGCCTGGCCTATGGCTGCTTTTGCACAACAGCAGAGCTGAGTAGTTGCAACATAGACTGTATGGCCCACAAAACCTAAAATAGTTATTATTTGGCCCTTTACAAAAAAAAAAAAGGTTTGTTGATTACTGTTTAAAGCACCAGAGAAGTGAGAAGCAGGCAAGTGGGGAGCACCTTAATAGAAGAAAGGAAAGTGTCTGAAAATGGCAAGATACCATGAGGAGGAAGCTGGCTCCTAGAAGCTCCCCAAGGACTATGGTGCCAGAACCTGAGGCTGCCCAACACTGCAGAGCCTACATAGTCTTCATCTCTCACCTGGATTATTCCAAAATGACCTTACCAGCCTCCCAATCTGGGTCTCAACTGCCTCATTAAAATTGTACACTGTTGGGCCACGCACAGTGGCTCACACCTGTAATCCCAGCACTTTGGGAGGCTGAGGTGGGCGGATCACGAGGTAAGGAGATCGAGACCATCCTGGCTAACACGGTGAAACCCCGTCTCTACTAAAAATACAAAAAAAAACCCAAAAAATTAGCCGGCCGTGGTGGCAGGCACCTGTAGTCCCAGCTACTCAGGAGGCTGAGGC